CATCATCATCATCGTCATCATCATCATCATCATTATCATCGTCAGTAGCATCAGCACCAGCATCAGCATGGACATCAAGATCAGCATCAGCATCATCCGCCTAATCACCATCATGATCATCAGCATCATCAGAATCAGCATCACCATCAGCATCAACAGCAAGATCAACATCATAATAATCCTCACCATCAGCATCATGATCAGTATCATCATCAACACCATCAGCATCGTCAGCATCATCATCACCAGCATCATCACCATGATCATCATCATCAGCAGCAGCATCAACATCATCATAATCAACCACATCGTCCCCTGTCATCAGCATCGTCATCATCATCATAATCAGTATCATCAGCATCATCATCGTCAAAATCAGCATCACCATCATCAGCAGCAGCATGGTCATCATCATCACCGTCATCATCATCATCATCATCATCATCATCATCATCATCATCATCATCATAGTCGGCGCCATCATCGTCATCATCGTCATCAGCATCACCATGGTAATCATTGTCAGCATCATCCTGGACATCACCACCATCGTCGTCGTCAGCATCAGCATCAGCGTCATAATCGTCGTGTCAGTTTTACTATCATCGTCAGCGGCAGCAGCAGCAGCTGCAGCCTCATCCTAGCCATCATCAACAACATCATCATGATCGCCATCACCATATCAAAATGAACCGTAAACATCAACTGCATCATCATCATCATCATCATCATCATCATCATCATCATCATCATCATCATCAGTACCGTCATCATGAGCAGCAGCAGCATCGTTATCGTCAGACTCGTGAAGATCCACCATCATCAATCCGCCTCCCCAGCCGCCTTCGTAGAAACCATCAACATCAGAAGATGCAGATAGATCGTATGGGGGCATCCACCTTCGCCTCATCTTCCCTGCCCTCCCAATCCTCTTTCGCCCCTGGCATCTCCAACTCGGAGGCCGTTGTCGGAAGACATAACATAATCTTGAACACTCTTGAGGTGGACGATCACCTGACATGTCAGACATGCACGTTCCATGTCACTGCTCCAACGTAGGTCCAAACGCTCTTGCTGCCACGTCGCACCTGCGATCCCTCTTTCTTGCCACACCCTCCTGCGCTCCTCCCGAGCCTCACCCCAGTCGTGCCGCGGTCGAGACGGTGCATGATCGCCCTCGGGATCAGGCTATCCTCGGCATAGCGCATGTGCAGCAGGGGGCAAACATCCCCACATCCCTTGTTGGCGTGAGTGATTTAGCGAGTTTCCTCTTCCAACCCACCTTCTTCCCCTTCGGGGAAGGGTTTGCCCTTCCCCCTACCCCACACCGTAACACTTTCCCCTTTGTCTAATGTTTGTCTTCCTGTACGCAGTGACCATTCGACGAATTAACGTTTTCGCAGCCTGGAAACAATTCGACGAATCCCTTTCTTCTCGTTGCATCGAGATTCGCGTCATCTACGGACAAACATCGTTTCCCGGAATGAAAATTCGACCCACGTCACCGATCTAGCTGTCCCCTTCCACATTCTTATATACGAGTGTGAAAATACCGATGGTTTTTCAAGGTGTCTGGTCCTGGGAGGGGTCCAGGAGAGTCCCGGGAGGGGAGAGAAGGTCCCCAGGGGAGTCTGGGAAGGAGTCTCTGCGCAAAGGTCGTTCTCGGAGGCATCTTGGAGCCCTCCTGGGCGCCTGTATTATTAGTATTCGTATGATCCGTCTTCGTCTTCATGCTATTACTACCATTCATAGTAGCATCAGCAGTTCGAATTCTACTTCGTCTGCTCAAGATTATTATTATGTCTCGCATTGTTATTACTCGTTGCTCGTATTGTTCTTATTATTTGGCCCGAATATTCTTGATAATATTACTATTCGTGTTTCTCTGTTTCCTCCTATTCATCCTTTCCCTCCTCCTCCTCCTGGGCACCGCCTCGCGCAAGCATGAGTGTGCCTGCGCACAAGGGCTGCTGCGGGCGGCATTGGCCCCCTTTGATCGGCTTGCCGCCCGCGCCACCACCCAGTCAGATCTCGTCACGCACAAGAATGAGAAAGCCAAGCAAGGTAGGACAAAACGGCCGACGAGGTCCCACCTGCTCTGACCAACTCACCAGTACGAGGGGACTGGATCAAGAAGTGTCAAGCCTTGCTATATGAATACCGTGCTGTTGGGGCTCGGCCAAGATCACTCAAGGCACGAGCTCCGTGGGAGCCTGAGAGAGGCCCGCCAGGACACCCGGCGCTGAGACTCGAAGAGACGGTGGCACCGCCGTGGCCACAGACCACGCACACTCACACCAGGGGCCATCGACGAGCTGAAACGGGCGCACCGCGTGCCGCCAGCCTCCCGCGAGCGCCAGCCTGGTAGCTGACGCCAACCATCCCGCATCGATTTCTCGGCACTGCGGAATTCGCGATCGGCGAGCTGCCTGGTAGCAGCCGCAGCAGCTGCAGCCAGCTCGTAGGGAATGTACTTAGCAAGGGAGAGATGCTCTGGCCACGGCTGCGCATGGTTGAAATCAACTGCTGCAGAGCGTGCACTGGCCTGGACCTGGCGAGCGAGTCAAAGCGTTAAATCTCTGAGCGGAGCAGGCTGCCAACGACTGAGACCAAGCAAGCAGCGAGCCAAAAGTCGCCACCAGAGCGACCTGGGTGAGAGCCTGGGGTACGCAAAGTCCTTATGCAGAGAGCTGCTTAAAAACAAAAAGAGACCCTTCGCTACGCCACAAGTTCGAGCGACGACGCGGGGGGCATGACGTCGTAGAGGTCGGCGAGGTCTGCCCCCGCGGCCTGGACCCAGTGCCTCCACCTATCGTCCACCTTGTAGCCCATCATGTCCAGTTCCGCGTCCAGCCACAGCTGCATAGAGTCCTGCCTCGTGCGCCCGATCGGCACCTCGATGGGGAACTTCTTGGGGATTCGAGCGACCCTGAAGCTAAGATCGACCTTTCCATGCGTGCGCAGCGTGAGCACAACGGGCATGTGAGGGGCCGTGCCAACATCTGTAATGAACTCCACGGCGGCGCCGGACTGAATCTGCGCCGATGCCACGAAGTAGTCGAGCACCTTGCCACCAGACTCGGGCGAGTTGGTACACGTAGCTGCCGCGTGAGCCAGCACGACTGCGTCGATAGCCTCGGGCCAGCCTGACCCGCTGAGAATGTCAGAAGTCAATGTTGAAGCCGCCGCAAACGATGAACAGCATGTTGACAACCTTGAGCACAGCACCCACGGCCTCGAGAATCTGCCAATTCCTCGGCGAGAGCTGCTCGCTGTCATGCACGTACAGCGTGGCCCACAGAAAGCCACCAGGCACTAAGACTGTGGCGTGGAGCGCCACTGCGCGGCCGACGCGGGACAATCTGCAGCAAGCCGCCACAGGCGCCCTTGCCATGGCCAGAGATGGCAGCGGGCTCCACCCTGCCGCGCCAGTCTGCCTTGCGCAACCTGCTCTCCCAAGAGGAACACGCCTCAATATGATGGTGCTCCTGCACCGCTGCGAAATGAGACTGGGCGAGCTTGGCGGTCTCGGCCCCGTGCGAGAGAGACGCCACCAACTGCTTGAGCTGCTCCAGTGGGTCGGCCCAGTCCATGGCTGCGAAGGCTGCTGCTGCCTTGGCGGAAACGGCACGCGCAGCGGCCTCAGCCTCGGCGAGGTCGGACTTGCACCGTGTAGCATGAGCCACTGCTTTTAGACTGCATCTTGAGCCCGATCAAATGCACGCTGCGCCTTGGCACGCGTGTCGAGGAAATCTTGATCGAGGCGAGCGGCCTTAGCGGAGGCACGGGGTTCACCATTGAACAAAGCCCTATGAACAGCGACACAATCGATCGGGTTGGCAGGCCAGTCACTCGCGAGCTGTTCGAAACCCGTGGCCACGAGGGCCTTTAGCTTAGCCCATCCGCCGATATCACGACTGCTCTGAGCTGCGCCAGGCTGGCGACCAGCAGCGCGACCACAACGAAAACAACTCTTGCGCTAACTGCACAATAGAGACCCATGCAAAGAAACACCCTGCTTGCCTCCAGGGTGCCCTGGGTTTCTTGGGCTTCGATGATTTTGCTATGGCAAACGTGACGCTCCAACACCAAAAGTCAATGGACGTCCTGGGGTCTCAGGGTTGGGTTTACTGTTGAAATTTTCTTGTGGTCGATCCCCTACTGCAATCTGAACGGATAGCCGCACTTCTTTTGGCCGCAAGCCCAAGCCGAGACGTCGGGAGCGCGATTGCGGGCCACGCCTGGACAGGAATGCTGGATGCACAGAGACAGCGCGCAACCCGAACCACGTGCACGGAAGGTCCATGAGAAAGCAGGCGGGGGCCGCTCCTCTTGCTCCTCCTCCGATTCCTCCTCCATCCCCCCCCCTCTTGAAGTACGACGTCTTGCCCAACCGTCTATCCCACCGCATTACACTTCGCATCCCTGACGAGGGCAACTCGTCTGGGCATCGTTTCTGAATTGTCTGGCGGGGGTACGCGAAGCGTCTAGAATTGGACCCAGAGAAAGAAGGGAACTGGGAGATGCAGAGGAGGAGGACGAGCAGTATGAGGACAACGACGACGACGACGACGAAGACGAAGCAGAGGGGAACACTTGTTGACTGTCTGCATCATGAAGTCAAACTCTGAGGCAGGCTCAAGCTGAACGGCCGAAACGGCACAGCAGGAGCACCCGCAGAGCAGACGTCAAGCGAGAAGGATTGGCCTGGCCGGGGGGGGAGCGCCCGAGGGGCCGGCAAGCAGCACAGAACCGCCTGGGCGGGTGACCTCACCTGGACCCCGAGCCCCGAGGAAGGGGCAGAGGCAGGAGGAGCAAGCGTGGCCATCACGAACGAGCGCGGCAGCACCGGCGGCGACAGGCGCAGCAGGAGGGGCGTCGGGAGGAGGAGCGCCGGCGGCTGCAGCAGGAGCAGCAGCAGCAGCAGCAGTGGGACGAGGGGGAGAGGACGAGGAGGAGGTCGCGCTCGGCAGAAGTCGCCAGTATGATGGCTGCACAAGATGGCGCTACCGGCTGCGGCCGTGCGGCCAGCACCCACAAAAGAAGGCGAACACACAAGCGTGGGAGAATGGCCTCCAGGAAATCGTCGAGCTCCTCCCCGCCTTCCCTATCTTTTTTCATCCTCTCCTTCGAAATCCTGCTTCTCCTCCTCTATAGATGTATTCGTCCTTACCCTCCTCCTTTCATCTATGTTTCTCCTAATCCACCTCCTCCTCCGCCTCCTCCTCCTCCCCCTCCTCCTCCTCCTCCTCCTCCTCCTCCTCCTCCTCCTCCTCCTCCTCCTCCTCCTCCTCCCCCTCCCCCTCCCTCTCCCTTTCCCTTTCCCTTTCCCTTTCCCTCCCTCCCTCCCTCTTCCTCCTCCTCCTCCCTACCATCACCACCTCCTCCTCCTCATCCTCCTTCACCTTTTCCTCCTCCTCCTCTTCCTCATCCTCCTCCTCATCATCATCATCATCAGCAGCAGCATCATCGGCAGCAGCATCAGCATCATGATCATCAGCACCATCATCATTATCATCGCTATCGTCATCGACATCGACATCGTCATGGGCAGCATCATCAGCATCGACATAGTTATCATCATCATCATCATCATCAGCAGCATCATCATCATCATCATCATCATCATCATCAGCATCATCATCATCATCATCATCACATCATCATCATCATCATCATCATCATCATCATCATCATCATCATCATCATCAGTATCAACAACATCAGTATCAACAACATCAGCTGCAACATCATCATCAGCAGAAGCATCATCAGCATCATCAGCATCATCATCAGCATCATCATCGTTATCATCAGCATCATCAGCATCAGCATCATCAGCATCGTCAGCATCAGCATCATCATCATCATCAGCAGCAGCAGCATCATCAGCACCATTATCAGTATCATCATCGTTCCCATCGTCATCACACACAGTAATATGTACTGCCTCCTCCTCTCAGCGATCTCATTCCGCCGTCCTTCTTCTTCCCACCCTCATCTGTATTGACCTCGTCAATATTGGCCCTCCTCATAATCACCACCACCACCACCACCATCGTCAACATCATCAGATCAGGGGCAGCACCATAGTCACCGCATTTTGGAAGCAGACGGGGGGTCTGCGCTAGATGGGCCCAGAATCCGCTCAAAATCGTTCGCCAGACCCATCCTGGGGTCGAATCTGATAAGTTTTTCGAGCCGCGTCCAGCCGTGGTGACGAGGGCGTCCCTATCTCCCCATGTTCTGCTGGCCGGAGCCAGCGCTGGGCCACCTCAGCCACCCAGCCAGCTCCAAACCGCATTCACCCTTGCCTTCGCTGCCTTCTCCGCGCGGCACGGCCACATATTAAAAACAACGACCGCGGTGCCAGCTCAGGGAGGGAAACATCGACCTGGAATCGGCGGTAAACCGCCGATAGATCAGCAGTAGGCGCCCGAAGCCCAATTCGCACCTTCCTGGGCGGGTCTGGGCTGTCGGGCCTTCTTCCTTCCTCGATCAAGGGGCGATTGAAGGTCGATGCGCCCCCCCTGATCCTCTCCCCTGGTGGCTTTCGGGCCACGTAACTCGGGCCTCCGGTAGCCTTTCGGGACGATCTGGGCAGGGCACCCCTAGAACGCTCTCGGCGAGGCGGAGCCGCTGGACAGCACCCCAAGACCTGGAAGACCTCCGAGATCCGACGAAAGGATCCGAACACCTCGAACCTCGAACCCGAAACGTCCCACCCTGACGCGAATTTCGGGGGCGCGCAAACATGGATTAGCGATCCATGGATTCAGCGCGCGGTCGCTAAATCCACGGATCGGGGGAGGTGCCCTCCCCAAAATGCGGCCGGCGCTGCCTCGCTCGGCGGCGGAAATCCGCGATCTCCCGTGGAAAGGGGACCCGTCGCTGATCCACGCCCCCCTGGATCCATGCCCGCGATCGCCCGAGAATCTGCCCCCCCCCCCCGAACGCTGCACCTGGCCAGGGGAGAGGCGCGGGTCCTTCTCCGACTGGTCCGCCCGCTGCCTCATCATCCCAGGCGGCACGCGGCCGACCAGCGCGTGCGCCACGGTGCCACCCGACTCCTCCGCACGCGCGAGGCCGCCCTCCACACCGGCCCCCTCCCGCCTCGCGCCTCCCCCCCGCCCTCGCCCCCGCTCTCCTCCCCTTCCCCCCGTGCTCCTCGTCACCTCTCGCCTCCCTCGCCTCCCAAACAGCCCTGAAGGGGCCCTGGGACGCACCAATCAATGCACACAAATAGCAGGATTCCACACATGTTTTCCGATATTTCCTGGGTTTTTGTCTTCCCCCCCACTTCCCATATTTTCCCATAGTTTCTTAGGAATCGACGATTCGTTGTGTCTGTGCTTTTCTTTCCCTCCTGAAACCCCACCCCCAGCCCCAGCCCCAGCCCCATCTCCCCCGTCCCGCCCTCTCCCCGCGTCTTTCGTTCGCAAGGGCCGCTGGTGCAAGTCGCACGCGTGCTGGGAAGACTGGCGCCGAGATGTCGTGGCACCGTTCCGCCCACGACGAGCCCGAGGGCCCCCATGTCGCCCCTCTCTCCCCCGAGCCCCACACCTCCCGCCTCGGACTGGCGGGACGCAACAGCGGATGCACTGGCGGACATCCCCTCCGCGGGCCGCAGCAGGGGGAACGCCGAAGAAAGGGAAGCGGGAAGGGAGGAGAACGGAGGAGGATGGAGCAAGGGGGAGGAGAAATGAGGAAGGCACAAGGAGGAGGAGGAGGAGGAGGAGGAGGAGGAGGAGGGGGAGGAGGAAGAGGAGGAGGAGGATTCATCTTGACTATCCGCCGACCACTTGTGGGTCTCGACGCGTGTGAGATTATCCCCCCTATAATCTCCCCCCCAGGGACCCCAAACCGGCAATCTGATCCCCCCCCCTGGCCCGGCCCAACCCCGGACAGAACGCGTCATGGGGGAGCGGAAGGCTCCGAAACGGGCCGAGAAGGCACCAAAACGCCCCCCAAGACGATCCCAGAGGGCCACGAGTCGCCGAAATATCGCTCGCCCACGATGGCCCCCAGACGGCCTCCGAAGCTGCCAAGACGCCCCCAAAGGCCCCCAAGATGCGTCCCAAGAGTGCCCCAAGAAACAAAAATCGTCCCATTCCCCCTTTTCGGCTTTCGCAACGTCCAAGACGGGCAAAGAAACCTTCAATATCGCCCCCGGACGGCCGAAGAGGCCCCCAAGAGGGGTCGAAGAGGGTCCAAAAACAGCCCACGAAGTCCCCAAGACAGCCCAAGAGGGCGCCCAGACGGCTCCCAGAGGGAGTCCAGAGGGCACCTGTTCGAGCCTTCGGCCCCAAGACGCCCCCAGCCTGCCCCAAGAACACCCCAAGGGGCCGGAGGGACCCCCAAGAGAACCCCAAAGGCCTCCAAGAAGCCCCCAGGGAGCCCCCAAGAGGCCCCAAAACTTGGCCCGAGAGGCCTCGAGGCGGCCGGATATGGCCTGCAGACAGGCCAAGATGCCACCAAAAGGCAACAAAAGAGCACCAAGAGGTACGATAACAACAACGAAACAACAGGAACGATGTCGAGAGCGTGTCATGATTCGGACAAGCCTCGTGAAATGTAGTCCTGGAGGCGCAGTAGTGTATATAGGGGTCAACGGATGTGGCGTAAGCCTATAGAATCCTCCTCCTTCTCCTCCTCCTCCTCCTCCTCCTCCTGCTGAATCCGCAACCCCGGCATGTGTCCAACTTTGGGACACATGTCCACCGGGGTCTGGCGTTTCGGCCGAAACTCCGAAAAACTCCGCGAGAGGCGCGCGTCCGTCCCGGAGTTTTGCTTCTCGGTGCCCAGGTGGAGGGCGAGAACCCACCCAGAGCACAGGCAGGACACGCCCCTAACACCTGAACACGGTGAGAGAAGGGAGGAGAGAGCGCAGGAGGGAACCCGAGCGCAGGAGAAGGCGGGAGCGCGGCCGCGGGGTCTGAGCCTGCCCACCCTCCCCCTCCCCCTTCCCCTCCCCCTCCCCCTCCCCTCCTCCTCCTCCTCCTCCTCCTCCTCCTCCTCCTCCTCCTGCTCTCCTCCACCTCCTCCTTCCTCCTCCTCCTCTCCTCCTCCTCCTCCTCCTCCTGCCTCCTCCTCCTCCTCCTCCTACTCCTCCCCCTCCTCCTCCTCCTCCTCCTCCTCCTCCCTCCTCCTCCTCCTCCTCCTCCTCCTCCTCCTCCTCTTCCTCCTCCTCCTCCTCCTCCTCCTCCTCCTCCACTCCTCCTCCTCCTCCTCCTCCTCCTCCTCCTCCTCCTCCTACCTCCTCCTCCTCGCTTCCTCCTCCTCCTCCTCCTCCTCCTCCTCCTCCTCTTCCTCCTCCTCCTCCTCCTCCCCCTGCAACTTGGGCCCGAGCTGGGCCCGCCCCGTGGGCTTCCGAGGAGCGCTTGAGGGACTTTGTCCGCTCTTATTTGCCAGGATTGAACGTACACCGACGAACACACGGGATTGAAATGGCTGCGGAGCAGAAGCGATGGACTCGCTGTGAGAGTTGCAACAGGTGTGAGTGAAACACCATCCTGCGTCGCCAGAACCTCGTCTGCAGTGGCTGCAAAGCTAAAGTCAAGCTGTTCCGCCCCAGGAGGCGCGTTCAGTTCGACGAGAGTCAGGATGGCGACGGTTTCTATGACGCAGACAGCGGCAATGAATCTGAATCATTTCCAGGTCCTGGGCAGCCACTACCTCCAGGCATACTGAGGCGTGCGCCGTCCCCGAACCGTGCAAGCGGCAAGGGCTACAAGGACGGCGGCGACGCACAGTACCACCTTCGCCTTGCGCTGGCGGCTGTCACTGATCCAGTGGTGAAGAAGGACCTGGAGATGCAGATCGCCAAGCTCAGCCAGGTGGCCGACAAGGAGCCAGGGCTGGGCGTGGTCGAGGCGCTGCGCCGCGCAGACGGCGCCAAGCGCAATGCAGAGCACGTACACGAACAAGCAGTTGTGGCAGTACTACGCATTCGCAGCAACCTGGCGGCTGCGGAGGCGAAGGAAGCTACGGCCGCCATCAACCTAGCCAAGGCGGTGGACGCTCGCAAGGTGGCGGCCATGGCAGTCACACAGGCGGGGGGCCTCGGCGGCACTCCGCAGGGCGCTGAAGCCAGCGAGAAGAAGATCCTCAATGTGGAGTGGGACGAGACTTTCTTCGGCAGCATCGACGGGCCCGACGCCACCTCCGAGGAGAAGGCAGCGCTGCTCACGCTCAAGCAGCAGATCCGAGGTGTGCAGGCCCAGTTCCAGGAGAAGGAGTCGGAGCTGCAGAAGTGGCTCACGGACATGAAGGAACATCGGCGTATCATCGAGGAGGGGGCCGCTAAGAAGCGCAAGGCGGAGAGCGGCATCAAGCAGCAGGACGAGCAGCCGACGGCCGAGGCCCCGAAGGCTCAGCCAGCAGCTGGAGGAGCAGGCGCCGAGGTTCCATCGGGCCCCGCAGCGGCGACAGCGGCCAGCCAGGCCACGTCGTCGGCAGAGGGCTCCGCCGCCCGCGTCAACGAGCAGCAGCGCATCGCGGAGGAGGCCAAGAAGCTGCCGGAGGCCAAGTTTACAGCGGCCGCCAGGGCCACCAAGGCCAAAGGCAAGGGGGAGGCTGAGCCCGCTACGGCGACGGAAGGTGGTCAATCACATTGACTAGGGGTAACACGCCAGCCTCGACCTACGCAAGTCGAGGCACATGGGGAGACAGAAGATATTACCAGGGTCTTTTATGCTAATATCACCAGTCTGTCTGATAATGGGAAGGCGTGGAAGTCCGTTGAATCCAAGCCCAGAGAATACTCGTATTTCACCCTGACGGAGACTCATGTTCACTTGAAGTCTGAGATCAGGAGTCTTGAAAGCCAGAGCCGCCAGCTACGACTCCGTTTGCACCACAATGCTGCACGTCACTCTGGCAAGCTAGTCGGCAAGACCAAGGTGGCCCGCTCAGCCCAAGCTCACCTTCAGGCTCGGAAACTGGAGGAAGCGTATGTTGCGTCCAAGCATCTTCCAGACCCGCACCAAACAGCTTTGGATGGGTTTCTACCGATGGTGCTGAATGTTGCAGGTTACTCGCTCGTATGTATCCTTCTGTACGGACACCCATCCATTCAGATGCGGGGCAAGAACAGGTTGCGGTTCCAGAGGATCGGGGCCTTGGTCAAGGCGCTGAGGATGCCGTGGGTGATGCGCGGGGGTTCAACATGACCCCAGAGGTCCTCTCCAAGGCTGGTTCCCCTCAGCAGCTGGATGCAGTCATCCGCACTGCGGACGTGGGGGGGACTTGCAAGCAGAAGAATGGCAAGCCAGACACCATGACCGACTTCTTGGTATGCAGCCGCTCCTCTCTGCCACTCATGCGCGACATCCTGCCCGTGCGCGCGGCCCCATGGCGGCCAGATATTGGGTTGGAAATTAAAGTCAGGAGTTCTGGACTGCTGTCACAGACCCGCGTGCTGAATCTCCCGAGGAGGCTTCCTCAGGCGGCGAGACCCAAGACGGAGCCCACGCCTGACTACAGGTCTTCTCGAGCCAGGCTGGATCGCGCAGTTGCCCGAGCCTCGGCGCAGGAAAAACGTTATTTGATGTACGAAGCATTGTTTGGGGATCGTCACCCGTCTGTTGAGCAGCCTCGCGACCCCAATTTTCCCGACACGGCAGTGATGTCTAATGAAAGGGATGGCGAGGCCGCCGATCCTGATTTGGCTCTCCTGCTCGACGAGGAAGACCCGTGGGCTGATGAGCTTAACTTTTGTGGTTTAGACCCCGCCCATTCAACTGCTTTGGTGGCGTCTGTGGGGCTGTCGTCGTCGGGGCCGTCGGTTGGCGGTCTGTCTGGGGCCCCTGGGCTCGCCGGGGCCCCCTGCGGGGCTGGCGCGGGGCCCTCTCCTAGTGGTTCGGCCCCAAAGCAAGTGATTGAGAGCGTGGAGGGGTCTAGGATACAAGTACTGTCCGTTAGTGCTAGGCCCTTGGTGCCCCAGGCCCCCGACACCCCGCCTAACTTAGGAGACCCCCCGTCGTTCGATGATAGTAGCAAGGCGAGCTCGAGACGTGACCCAGAGGTGGCGGCCCGTATCTGTTTGGCCATCCCAGGCGAGGTGTGGGCC